GGGGGGGGGGGGGGGGAGCGCTTGGATTACATAACCTGCAGGTGCGTCCGCTGAGTGAGCCTGAGATCGCTCACCAGCCCGCTGCCCCCAAGGGGACAGTGAACAGGACTGCGTGGCCTACTGTGGGTGTCCAGCTGTGTGAGTTGTAGGGAGCTGTATTGAGAGCTTCATGAAGCACCTTGACGTCTGTTCTTACTTCATTTCCAAATTACTGCAGAGGAGAGAGAGCCAGATTTAGTGGCCTATGCCTGTGATCTCACCATTTGGGAGGCCGAGGCAGGAATATCCATCCATACGAATTGGAGACCAGCCTGGGCTACATAGTGAGTTCAAAGCCAGCCTGTACCACACAGGGAGACCTTGTCTCAAACCATAAAATAAATAATTTATTGGGCAGCCCCACAGGGGAGGCAGGGTTCAAGTTAAATAAAAGTGGAGGAGGCAGCAGAACAAACAGTGATGAGTGTCGGGGGCGGGGACACAGCCGGATCCCTGTCACTGTTCTGTGCGGGCACCCACCCAGTCAGTCATTGCGGCCACATGGCGGAGGGGGCGGCGTGGTGTGGAGCATGGTGAAGGATGAAGAGGGCCTGGGAAGGCTTCCTGGAGGAGGTGCAGACAGCGTGACCGCGGGTGAGGAGTCACAGACACGGCGTTCACAGTGGCAGGGAAGGGATCTAGAGCTCAGGGCCTGTCCTGGCTCTCTGCTTTAGACCTACTCACGGTTGACCACACCAACCTCAGTTTCCCCCTAAACCCAAAGGGAAGGCTCTGGTCAGGTCTGTTCTATGAAACAAGCTTTTCCCTGAAGGTCTCGAAGCTTAGGTTAAGGCTCTGGGGCAAGAGGTTCTCTGGGGATCAAAATTGTGGTGTGAGGAGCTGGGGAGGGGCCTGTGTGGACCCAGTCCCCACTTGGCTGTGCCCACTACCCTGTGGGTCACTCCACAGCCCAGAGAGGAAGGCAGACACTTAAGGAATACTGTGCTGCAGGCATGGGCGCATCTGTGCACAACTCAGCGCAGTTTTGAAACAGTGACGTGAAAATATTAACAAACTGTGCCAATCTCGCAGCTTTCCCTCCCCTCCTAAACTGTATTCACCTTGTGCCACACAGCAGCCATGTGAGCTGGGAAGTAGAAATGTCCGTCTTAGAACCGTGGCATCAGGATATCAGGGTACCATGCACAGTCTCGGGCTCAGCTGGGAGATCGTGGGCTGCCGGAAGTGCCTTTACTGCCATGGCTGCCCTGGCTTGCAGGTGGGCCTCGGTGAACTGTAACTGAATGAAGAAAATGAGTCCTGGGGACCACAGAGTGATCCGCTCCATCCTGCTGGGCTGACAGAGCTGGGGAGCTGAGAAAAACATTTTGGGATGACTCATTGGAGACCATCAGGGTTGTTTTTTTTTTTTTTTTTTTTTTTTTTTTCTCCTGGTACGGGGGATCAAACTCAGGACCTTGCACTTGAGAGGCAGTCAAAGTGCCACTGAGCTAAATCCCTGTTCCTAGACAAAAACAAAACACCAGTGCAGCCAGGCTTGGTGACATAGGCCTGTAATCCCAGCACTCTGGAAGGCTGAGGCCAGAGAACCACATGTTTAAGCCCATCGTGGGGAATTTAGCAGCTTTGCAAGACTATCTCTAGAAGTGAAAAAGAGCTGGGGTTGGATCCTTGGTACAAAGCAAAAACAAAAACCAGACATGACAGTGCAGGGCTGTTATCTTAGCTATTTAGGAGGCTGAGGCCAGAGGATTGTAAATTGGAGGCCAGCCTTGGCAACTCGGTGGAACCATATCTTAAAATTAAGTTTTGTGAAAAGAAAGGGGAGTCTCAGGGTTTAGCTGATACATGCAAGAGTGCTTATCTAGTGTGTGCAGGGCCTTGACTTCGCTGCTTAGTGCCTGGTGAGGGGTGCAGCAGACGGTTCTGGGGCGGATGTCCCAGAGAGCTTTCCAGCAGAGTTGCCCTGAGCCAGCTGGAGCCCAGTCCCTGTGGTGATAGGGAAATTATTTCCTTCTAGTCAGGGGCCACAGGGATTCTCACTGTCCCCACTCACCTTTTCTGTGCCTTTGGTTTAACAAGCAGAGTATCATTGGCTGTGAAGAGAGGGAGAGGTGGGCCAGGGATTTAGCTCAGTGTCACTGTGCCTGCCTCAAAAGGGCAAAGTCCTGATTTCAATCCCCAGTACCAGAGAAAAGGAAGAGTGAGTGGCCGGGTGTGGTGGCACACGCCTGTAATCTCAGAATTTGGGATGCTGAGGCAGGAGGATCGCTGTGAGTTTCAGACCAGCCTGTGCTACATCGTGAGTTCCAGGTCAGTCTCAACTACATGGTGAGACCCTGTCTCAAAAAATAAAAAAAAAAAAGGTGGGGGAAGAGCGAGGAGGAGGAGGCAGCGGCGGACCAGAGTGTTAGGGTCTGGCCAGTTGTGTGCTGAGAAACGTCTGCTTGCCTACTGTGGCCATGATCTCGCTGAATAAGGAGCTGGGAGGCATTTCCACCCTTGCAGGTGTAAATGACCTCCAGGGCAGTGTGGAACAGGAATTAAGAAATGAGTGCTGAGAATTTGTCGCCTTTGTTTAATTGTAAATTTATAGGTCGGGTGGTGGCACATCCTGTAATCCTAGCACTGAGAAGGCTGAGGCAGGAGGATTGCCATGAGTTTGATAGTTCAAGGCCAGTCTGAACCACATAGTAAGAACTCACTCTGAAAAAAACAAAAACAACCAAAATGAGACACTTTTTCAAAATCAAACAAACCAGCTCACAAAATTTCTGAAAATGAAAGTTCACATTCCCAAGCCTTTCCAAGACTGAGTCACACACTGCCCTAATCTCAGTGCCCCCCCAATCTCAGTGCTTTTTTTCCTTTCTGAGACTGTCACCATGTGGTCCAGGCCAGCCTCAAATTCTCTACTCTCCTGCCTCAGCTTTCTGAGTGCTAGGATTATAGACATGTCCCACCATGCCCAGCTTTGGATCCAGGTCTGTTTGTGGTCCTTTAACAGGCAACCCAGAGCAGATTGCTTCATGCTTCTGAGCCTCAGCTTTCTCATCTGTAAAATGGGCTTCTGTGAGTGCCCAGCACAGCCCATGGCCCATTAATAAATGGCATTCTTCCTCGTTATCATTTGGTCGGTGACATTATTGTGAAGGCAGAATGTTCTGCCATGGGACGGGCACAGTGGATTTATTGTTCCAGCAGAACGGTACTGGGCTGGAACAGAACTGTTCTTTTCCGAACAGTCCTCCCACTGTTAGACACGCGGGCACTGTCTTGAGCGGGACCTTTTTTATGTCTGGTTGGAATTCTCTTCTTGCAATCACTTTTGCCACGGATACCAACTGGGTCAGAGGTGCAAATATTTCTGTGCCCTGTTGCATTCCAGAAGGCAGTGCGAGTTCCCGATGCCAGGGACACGGCCTCTGTAGCAATAACCACTGTCTGCTAAGTGCTTTTCTCTTTTCAAAGCCCCGGCCATCTGATGCCCAGAGTACCCGCCCTTTTTTGTGGTACCGCGGACAGAGTGCCCTTTTGAGGATAGGTGTTAGCTGAATCCCCATTTTGCCAAGCCCAGGGAGACTAAGTGGGTGAGCGGCTCGCCCGAAGGCACACAGCTGCCAGGGCAGAGTCAGGCTGAGGGCCTCAGACAGGACAGCGCCTGCCCCCTGCAGGGGCTCCTTGAGTCCTTCCAGTACCCAGTACAGGTAAGTACCTCAGAGGTCTTCACAGGAGAAGGGAAAACTGAGGCACTGGAGATTAACCAGCCTGCCCAAGACAGTGGGGATGGACTCTGAAACCAGGGATCTGACGGCAGGGGTCCATCCTCTTCTTTCCACCCTGAGACTCAGAGCCAGGCCTTAGGTGCCCTGGAATTCCGGTTCTGGGCCCTGATGCTGTTGCAGCCACCTCTCTGCTGACCACTCTCCTATCTTCCTCTCCCCCTCCCTGCAGGCACCGGGAGCCTGGCCGCAGCTGTGGAGACGGCCTCGGGGCGTCAGGCCCTGGTGGTGGGCAAGCCCAGCCCCTACATGTTTGAGTGCATCACCGAGCACTTCCGTGTGGACCCCGCCCGCATGCTCATGGTGGGCGACCGCCTGGAGACTGACATCCTCTTCGGCCACCGCTGTGGCATGACCACTGTGCTCACACTCACGGGCGTGTCCCGCCTGGAGGAGGCCCAGGCCTACCTGGCAGCCGGCCAGCACGACCTTGTGCCACATTACTACGTGGAGAGTGTCGCAGACTTGATGGGGGCGCTGGAGGACTGAACCCGCCTGACCTGCAGCCACAGCCCAGCCTCCCGACTCCCCGGTCCTGTAGATGGAAGTGATGGGTCGTGAGTCTCGTTCGCCCCGGTTTGGGGGCCCTGGTGGAGCTGCCACGCAGGAAGGTGTGAAGACCTTTGTGCCCCCTCCCAGCAGTGGCTGGGCGCTCTGTGTTCCAGAAGCTGTCCCTGCAGCTTGGAGTTTCAGCCTGGCCTGACCCAGCCAGGTGGCCCTTCTTCCTGCCTTGTTACCTCCCCTCCCTGAATATGAGTCTTGATGCCAACTGAAGATTTTCCCCTGGCCTGGGCCCTTGGTCACCTCCACTCCCTGGGAACTCCTGAGTCCTGCCTACCCCTGGGTCCTGGCCTTTGGCTTCCTCTTGGCCTTTTGGAGGTTGAGGTGGCCACACACTGTTACTGTCTTGAGTGGACCACTCGAGGCTAAGTGGCAGTGGCTCGCTGAGGCCAAATCCTGAATGGACCAATGAGGAGCTAAGGAACAACGACCCTTGCATGTCCTAGGTCCTGGGTAGACCTATCTGGACATCAAGTAATGCTGAACCACTGGTCTCTTAGATCCTAGAAAGAACAATTTCAGGAGTCCGAGAGACAGTGGCCTCTTGACAATCCAGGTCCCATTAGATCAGCCAGGGTTGATTTCAGTCAATACGTAAGGCACCGGGTGTGGAGACCTCTTCCCGGGAGATTATGACCCAGCTCACTCAGTGGCCCTGGGGCTGCTGGGGCTGAGAGCCCTCCCTCCCTCATCCCATCCAGGGTTGGCAGCCACTGCTCCGAAAGGGACTTTGGGATCCCCGTGTAGCCAGTGTTTGCCGTGCCACCTCCCCACCCTCCGTGCCCACTCCCAGCTATTTGTTTATTTATTACTGTGTGCCAGTGATGTGAGGGTGGGGGCTGGGCCTCCTCGCCCCTCCACCTGCTGTTACCAGTCCTCCGTACTTAATAAAGCGCGAGTGGGAGTGTACCGCGTCCCCGAGTCTGTGGCCAGGGCGGGGGAGCCCCTGCGGCACCTGCGGTCCCTAGAACCAGCCACCTCGAGGCCTGCCCCACGTGACGCAGTCCAGCTCGCTTCTTGGTACACAGGACACAGTATCTCGGGTGTACTTCATACGCCGCCGGGCCTCACCTACCAGCTCGCTTAGTCCTCTGGAAAACCCAGTAAGTGTCTCTTACTCATCCTGTCTTGTGCAGTCTGATCAAGAGATAGCAGCAGGTGTTGTGTTTAACATTTTTTATTACCATAAAAGACGTTGCCATTCATCACCCTCAAAATCCTCACCACACTTACCCCATCATTCTTTGCTCTTTCTAAAGCAGAAGTCCTCTTCCGTGAGTGTCATTAGTTGCATGCTTCTGGCTACCTTATGTCCCGAATCGATTCAAAACATTTACCTTTCTGGGCCAGGGATGTAGTTCAGTGGTGTAACACCTGCCTGGCAAGTGTGAGGCCCTGAGTTTGATGCGGGACCCAGA